TTATTATTATTTTGTTATTATTATTAAATAAATTTGCAAAAACAAAAGGGGTTTAGCTTGTCATGAAACTATTGCTTCACAGGGCAAAGAAAACAAACGTGCAGGGGCAAGAAAGGTTTTTGAATTCAAATATCCTCAAATCTCTCTTGCACAACGAAGATGGAAAAAATCACCCATCCCCAGATCACCTCTTTTCTTTACTTCTAAATACGTTTAAGTGAACATGGAAACAGTTCCAAATCCATATGTGCTAATATTTGTAAACAGTACCATGACTCCAAATGGACAGAGCATTAATGTTCTTTTATCATTACTTTTAGGTTTAAACATTGGGATTATCTTCGTATTTATTGTAGAATCTTAAATGAGTCATCGTTTTTTAAATTGTCAAAATTGGGTCTATATATTTGTAAAATTAAGTTAATTGGGTCCAAATATGTGTAAAATCGAGTTAATTGGATTCTCTTCGTTAAGTTTTCACAGACGACGTTAAACAGATGTTGAGCTTGTGTATTAAATTGAATGACTTATGTGTTGTAGAATCAACAATTTCACATGGAAAAGTAAATTCTTTATGTTCTTGGGACCACACTTCTTCTTCAACTGCACACTAACCCGACGAGCCACCTTTCCGCTTGACGATGCGCCGCTTGACCATTGTTCATCGAAGCCAGGTTTGTGCCTAGTGACCTCCTACCGCCGCAAAATAAACGGAGGAGGAGCGGAGATGCATTGCGGTGGCGCGTTTGAAAGCGCCACCGACTTCTTCTCTGTCTTCGGCGTCAATTTCTTCACCGGCTTGCATCCGTCGACTATAGGTCGGACTTTGTTGCTTGCCGGGACAAGCATTGGACGCGCGTCGGGGTCGGCGACCGCGAAGTTCATGGATCGGACTTTGGGTGGGCTCGACATTGCAAACCCTGCACTCAAAAGCCCTTCTTCTCGAACTCACTCTTAGGTCAATGCCGAATTCGAAATTCAAATTTTAAACCTTCTCAAACAGAATAAAAAAAGCTATTTGTTTTTTGATAAAGTCTTGGGTTTTTGAAATTTGAGTAGTGGGACTACTTAGCAGGTTCGAAGATTGGTGATGATTTTTCATGGTGGCTCTTGAGACGCGAAGTGGTGGTGCTGATTTGAAGTTCACGATTTTGGATTTTAGGGTTTATTTGCAGGTTCGATTTGCGGCTAAAGCTCCCACGGTGGACTAACAATTCAAGGGTTTTCCTTTTGTTTGGTTCAGTAATTTCTTATTTTCAAGTTGGATCAGTGAAGAAGGTGTGAAGGAGTTTTTGCTTATGGGTTTGAAGGTCGCAATGTTGTGAATTGTTGATGAAGGCGTGAGGCTTCTACACGATCTATGCGATGAAGGCGAATTAGTGGTTTGTGATTTCATGATCTCGCGAGGAAGACGATGGAGGCTTCGCGTGGCAATCATTGAGGCGTGGCTTGGGATTTAAGTTTTTTTGGCTTTGGTTTGAGTTTGTAGGTTGACGAAGATGGAGAAGAAGGTTCCCTGGTGGGTTCCATTTTTGGTGGCGCATTTTCTGATTAGGTTAGAAGAAGATGGTGGATCCGGCGAGGTTGACAATGGAAGGTTGTGGCTTAACGGTGTTGATGGTTGTGTAGCACGGTGGTGGTACTAGCGAGGATGGTGGCGACGCATGGTTAATGACGACTAAGGTTTCTATGGAGAAGACGAAGTTAATGAATGAGAGTTTTTTTTTTGTGAATGGAAATTTCTGATGGTAAGAATTTACTTTTCCACGTAGAATTGTTGATTCTACAACACATAAGTCATTCAATTTAACACACAATGTCACACCATTTAAAAAAAATACAACTCAATATCTATTTAACGCCGTTTATGAAAACTTAAACGAAAATTGACTTAATTTTATAAATATATGAACCTAATTTTAATAATTTAAAAAATAAAAACTCACTTCCAACAAACAAATACGAGTGAGGTGGATAAAAGGATTTAAACCTTACTTTTAAAGTAATATAACAAAAACTAGTTTTTCTTCCTCCTCTACTCTTCTTCATAGATAGATAGATGGATATTATATTCAATGTTTAATAATACTTCACTGAAAGATATAATTGAAAGGCACTGTATGGTGATGGCAGAATTGTACCCAAACTGACACACACTGAATTATAGATTGAAAGGGGCACAGTTCTCTAACTTCAAAATCAATCCAATAAATAAATGAAGCATATACATCTCATTATTGTAGTCCTTTCACCCATCTAAAACTGGACCAACATCACTGACATCAGAAATTAATGAATTTCACAAAAAGAGATGGCTGAGAACAACAACTTCATCTGCAACTTCTAAGCAACACGATACCTATCCAATGGATCATTGAAAAGGATGAGTTCGTGGTATACCCTCCAAGCGTAGTCGTCAAAATCGAAAGACTTGAACACCTTCTCTTCTCCTTCATCACCACACTCTTTTTCTTCTTCAACCTCTTCCTTTCTCTCATAGCTTGCTTTCGGAACAAGTGGAGCCACTCTGCTTTCTGTCGGAAGAGTTATCAGCAACGACATTGTTATGCTCCGTGAACCTTTTTCCTCTCCCACTGTTGCAACTGGTCTGCCTCTAACTTTCTTCAACTTCCCATTGCTCCACACCTAGACAATAATATTGCTTAAATTCATATAGTAGCTCATTTCGTCAATGCATTATAGAAAATTGTATGAAGCTATAAAGACACAACACACACACAAAAACACTTGGGGACACTATGGTTTTTCTCTTTTCACTTTTTTCTTTATAATGGAGGAGATGGGTGCCCTATGCATGATATAGCATTTGAGATTTGAGGGGCTTTTGCCTCGTCCCCTTTTTCTGAGCTCAATTGGTGATTTTTCAACTTTAGGGCACATCCCGACACAGGGACATTGCTAACCACTGCATTATGAGCTGCTTGGGTATAATAAAGAAGGGGCCCAACCAACATAAATTATCTGCTGGCTCAAAATCAGGATTTCTACGACATGTACACTGAAAACAATAATGGTAATTTCATTTTATACCATCGTAATAAACATATTTTAATTATTATATATCATTCTTAAAGTTACAAATAATGTAGAATGACAACACCCAAAGAAAACATTTCCCTCGTTTATTAAACAACAAAAAGAAGAGTCACTTTAAAAAAATGATTAATATTAATTTGTTTGTACTTTACTGTTTTGACTTTATATAAAAATCATAATTTTTTTCCTTAAACAAGTATGTTAATTAAAATAAGTAATAATTAAACCTTAAGAAAAAAGGAAAAGACATGTCAGATAGCTAAAATGCTGCCTCGTTAGCTGGAATAACATAGTTCAAATATTCAGCTGTTTTTTCAAACTTCAAATTATGGAAGTTTCAAGATCAAACTATGCATGCACTGGAGGACACTAGAGTAATTACAACTCACACCTAACTTTAAACTATAGCCAACATGATTACGTGACAAACTGACAATCTTACTTATAAGCTTTTTCCCGAAACCAAGCCACTAAGTAGGAGAAACCAAAAAAATAAATAAAATATTTCAAAAGCAAGAAGATAACACAACATAATTAACAAATATCCAAACCATAAAGCTCACAGGTCATTAATAACATTAACAAGCCACAAAAACATTTATTAATTAATTAAAAACATACCCTAAAAAATAATTAATTTACCTGAGCAATATCACCAACAGTGACCAAAATCGACTCCACGTGTGGTAGCACAGAAACCCATCCCGAATCCGACAGCATCGAGTACTTCTGATTCCTAATCTGGTACTGTAGCCCGATTATAAACGGGTAAAACCCACCCGATTTGTTTCCTGGCACAGACTCCGAAATCCATAGGAGAGAACGTAAGCGGGTCGGGTCATCCCGCGTCGGATTTTCGCATCCCAAGGCATTGGTTAACTCATCAACGATCTTCAACCCCAGGTTCTCCAGCGCGCGTGCGAACTCGCGCAGAGAGGCTAGAGAGAGCTCGGTCGACTCAGTCGAGCACGCGGAGTCGAAGCGGAATGACTCGACGAGTTCTTCGTCGTCGTCTTCGTCGCCGCGGCCGTAGCCGAGAGGCCAGCTTTCTAGGATAAGAGACTCTTTCTGGTCGCGAGGAAGGTCGAAGAGCGCGAGGGCTTCCGACTCGGCCGCGTTGGCGAGCTCGGGGGGAACCGAGTGATCTGTGAGTTGCGCGTAACCGAGTTGCGAGACACCGGAGAAGATGTCTTTTAGGGAGGAGAGGGAAGGGAGACGTGTGGCGGCGGAGGAGGAAGAGGATGAGCGGCGCGTGGGGAGGGAGAGCGTGGGCGGGAGGCGGTGGAGGAGGCGCGAGAGCGCGTCGGCGGTATCAGAAGAGGACAGGAGGTTGTCGTGGTGCGCCGCTGGTGTTGGCGGCGGAGCTGAGGTGGCGCCTCCATAAAGGTTCGGTAGGAGTTGGTGTTGTTGCTCTTGAGTTGAAGAGGCCATGACGTGAGAGAATAATAATAGTACAATATAACGACAGTGTGAAAAATTTTGGACCTCGTTGTGTTGTTATATATTGAGCTAATTTTGATGAAAAGGAGCGTGCGAATATGGGAAACAAAGAAAATTTCACACGTGTGATGGAGCAGTCTATTTGCTTTTTTCCACGACTCTGATAAGGTTTTATTGCTAACATAATGATTATTCGTCCTCGTGGTTCCAAATGAGACAATTTAGTTAACGATGTATTGGTTGGCAGTCATTGAAACAAATGGGAATTTGGGTTGGAATATTTTTAAACGCATTAATGACCTAATGTAACTTATGGAAATTGCCAACACGATTAAGAGAAACATTCACATTTGAGGAGGTTTAATTTGACATTATTGATTATATTAATGTTTTACTTTTTATTATAAAATAAGGAATTGTCTCTCATAATGAACTTGAATTAATGGATAATAATGTGAATACTGAGACGAAAGTGATACTAAGGAGTTTAATGTTTGTGACCTACATAAACTTAGGCTAAAATTAGAAACTTATAATAATATATTAATAATATTTTATCCTCCTCAGGTATTATATACATATAATAAGGTTTACTTATTTATATTTTTTCTTCTCTCAAACACTGTTAAGACCACCACCACCTCACGTTAATCAGTTTGCAACTATTTAAATTTGTACACTACAATTGAAGCGCAATATTGCTCTGTGCAGTTGCATCCTTTTAATTTAGTAAATTAATTAGAGGAGATGTTTCCTTCATACATAGATGTTTGTAAAACCATTGTGTGTCATCTTTTAAAAGTAATATGTTTGGTGCGTCTAACAGTCAGTGTTAAATAAACAAAAAACAAGTAACAGTGACATAGAATATCTTGAATGAAGAGATATGAGTCTAACCCCATTGCTTTAATCTTTGGCAGATTTGCATAAAAAAAATGGTAGCTTTAAAAGGTATGCAGGTTTAGAGTTAGGGGTGATAGTTAGTGGCAGCCTTGTGTGTTTTCTTTTGTGAGGAAAAGATGCATCTCTCATGGCAGCAAAGGACATGCATCTCTGACTCCGTGTTTGTTTTATTCATCTTTTTCTTTCATTTTTTACATCAAAACAAAACTTATTTTTAATGCTAACAAATTGACAAAATTACGAAGAAATAGTTTAATACACTTATAATGAAACCAACTTTCAAAAATGGAAATGTAGAACAAATTCAAACGTATTGTTTAATAACATATGATATTGTTGCTAACAATATTATTAATTTCTTTAATAATGTAAATTGGTTTTCTATCTTTTTCTTAGTTTTCTTTTTGTGCATGTGAATCATCTTGTTTCTCATGTAGTGTTTGAGCTTTCTATAAGAGTTTATATTTATCAATGATCCTAATTGTGTGTATTGATCGTGTTTGTGTTGTTCGTAAGAGCATATAGAGCTTCTTGTGTGCCTCAAGGTGTTTTTAGGATTCTTGAGAAGTTTGGTTTATTTTTCAAGTAAGGGAAGCTAATTGCATTGTGTTTAAGTTATAAATATCATGAAATTTGTGATTTTCATGTTTGAGTTGTATGAGGAAGTTTGATCTGCTGAATTTGGATGTTGTATTGTTGATTGTCTTAGTTGAGTTATGTTAATTAGAGAACTTAGCAACTGATTAATTAAGCCAAATTGTGTGTGCCCTGACATTAAAAGTTGTTTTTGACCAAGGTACTAAGAAGGAAATACTAATTTGATCATTTGAACATGTGATATAGCGTTGAGCGGTGGCAGGCTGGCGCTGAGCGGTGACAGGCTGGCGTTGAGCGGGGTCAAGCTAACATTGAGCTCTAGTTCATTGTGTAGGTCTGGAGGCATTTTAGTTTCAAACTGTTGAGCACCTAAAATTGTGAACGCTTTGGCATTGAACAACACCAAGGTATCGTGGAGTGTCATTTTTGTACTACAGGTTTGGAGCATTTTAACTACAGGACATTGAGTGGCATAAAGTGTCACTGAACATCAACTTTTGCGAGAAGAATGTCGTTGAACATTAGGACTGTCGTTGAGCATCACCTTTTATGAATGACTTGATACTAAGCGCCATCTATGAACGTCTATGTGTATGTTAGAATTTTCTTCTTCTTTAACTTGTTTTAGATAGATTTACCATGAATTTTATGTGTGATTAAAAGTATTAAGGTATTTTATTAGGTGATAATATTGGTTTGAACATGTGTGGTAAATATTTTTGAAGGAATTTTAAAGAATTTTTTTTTGTAGTAATTTCATTAGTGTATGTATTGATATATAGATTCTGTATTGGGAGTTGAGAATTACCCTATCGCTCTAATAATCATCCAATCTCAAGTAGAGAATGGTGAGGTATGTGGTGAAAGGATTAGGAGATCCTAGTTTAGGAGTTTTACCTTGGCCAAATATGTTAACAAACTAACAGTATGTGTGATAGAGTGAAATCCATTGACAATGATTTTGCATAGTACTAGAGGCCATTACAAGTTCATAACTCACTAGTGTTTGATATCAATACATGTATCTAGATTGTTAAGTTTAATGAGTCTTTGTATAATATGATTGTTGTTATGAATAATTTATATGTGAGAATATCTTTATACTTGTTTTATTATTACTCTTTTCGCATATTAGTTTACTTTTTTTTTGTTTATACGTTTTCTTTGTTTGCAATGATGATCTTAATAATGTGGAGCGGATAATGTAACCGTTGTTGATATGGTGTATGCACGATAATATAGTTTTAAGGTGATCTTATTATATATAATATTCTTCTTTTTGAAATTTAGTTTCTCTTAATTTAGTTATATGTTTCTATTAATTTAATTATATAATTATCTCTATGTAATAATATGGATGATTGTAATAATATACTAGTTATATTATAGAACTTTTTAGTTTATAATTATTATATCTATAATGTTTTGTTTATTATTTTTACTCTATCATACAATAATTATATGAAAATAATATAAGTACGGTAAGAAAATTATATTAACATGCGTATCTAACCTTACTTTTTAAAGAAGACATGTTTTCTTTTATTCTTTTTTTAAAAAAGAGGTGGGCAGAGAAAAAAAGCAAAGTGGCTTCTGTGGATCGATCTTAATTTTCGAATTATTTCGTGTGTAACTAATACTACTTGGTGTTCCGGCGTTCAGATCAGATCCCCAAATCATCTTTGAACTTTAAAGGTTGAGATCTAACGGTCCATGTGACCCTCGAGGCTTAGCATCACCGTCCATTTCAATAAGAAAACCGGGAGGATTACACATGCACGGTGCACCATACTGGTGATTCACACGGCACCTGAAGCACCAAGAAACAGAAAATCGAAAAACAAGAACCAAAGGAAGCTCTTAGATTGGATCGTCGTCAACAATGTTCTCTCGATTATTCAACAAATCACCACCGGAACAACATCCTCAGGTACGTGCTCAATTTCCGCCATAAACTAACTCTATTCACGTTCATTGCAGATTTCAGCATCTTCGATTTTTTTTTTCTTGTAGTGGTTACGAATGCCGGTGCACAATGTTAAGGAGCTTTTTGTTTCTTTTGTTGACTAGTGCATTCATATTATATGAGTTTCTATTTCTTTATGACCACAAATCCTGAAACTGATGTTGTTTCTGAACGTTTTTTCGCGTCGCTGGGCAGCAGGACGTGGTGCACGACAGTGTTCCGTCGGCGAATTTCGATCCGCAAGTTGTTTTTCACTATGGCGTTCCATCTACCGCGTCTATTCTTGCTTTTGATCACTTCCAAAACCTATTAGCAATGGGAACACTGTGAGTTATTATTGATTGTGTTGTTGGCTTTGCGTTGGAACAACGCGTTCTTTCCATGTTTTCTGCCTTATTGGAATTCTCCATTCGAATGATATCGCAATGGAGAATTCCTTTGTTAAACAACAGTCTATTTTTGATGTTATTGGAACTAGTTGATGAAATAATACTTTGCGCACTTTATCTTGTTATTGTTATTGAAGGGAATTTTGTATGTTCTGAAATATTATTTTTAACTATGTCTCTTTTTTTAACCATTCATAATTTCATCATTCCAGTGTTGTGAAGATTGAGGGTTATTAGCTTAGATGTAGGAATATTTTTGTTTCTTTTTAGAATATTACAGTAGCTATCACTACATTGTGGCGTTGAGAGCTAGACAATAATTACTAGTAATCACTTATTACAGCACTGTGACGTTGAGAGCTAGACAGTTTCGATTAGTGGCTTTTTGAGTTGACTTTGGCATTTTCCTCCCTCTTGTAGCGATGGAAGGATAAAGGTGTGCGGTGGCAACAATATTGAAGGGATTCTGATCTCTCCCAAGCAAGCACCCTTCAAGAATTTAGAGGTTTGTAATTTTGAACCAATGTTGATACCTGAAATTAAAGAGTGTCATCAATCATTTAATGGTGTATTGTATATTACCCCGATATTGTTTTGCATTTTTGCTGAGTATTAGCATCTCTGGAATCCATGTATATTTGGCTATGTGTGGGTATGGCATTTATTTGCATGTTTATTAATGAGTGTTGTACATTAACTAAAGTTTAGAAATCCAATGGAATGATTTTGAGGAATTTCATGAATAATATTATATCTCATCGTTTTGAACTTTTCTCACAGTTCTTGGAAAACCAAGGTTTCCTTGCCAGCGTCTCAAACGATAATGAAATACAGGTAACTTACAAGTTTAGTAGGGTTCTTTTAAACTGCTTTATAACCAGGCACCCTCCGAATATGCTTTGTAATTGTTTGGAGAAAAATATGTTTTTGATGTACCAAAGTATTTTAATATTCTATTTTAATCCTTATAAAAATGTAATTCGTTACCAGTCCTTACATTTTCACAGAAAATGTGTTTTTTTACTGCTGATGAGGGACTAGAACCAGATCACTTTGGTCAATCTGATGACATAATCATTAAAATTTTAAGTGACTAAAAAGCAATTTCGAGATATTTCGATGTGTGAAAAACGTATGTTACCATTTTTTTTTTGGGTATTCCATATGAGCGTTCTTTCCTTTACTGCTTTTGTTTAACAATGTTTAACTTTTATACCAAGTTTTTCCCCGTACTCTCATTTTCTCCTTTCATCTGTTTCATTCACTAACCTGCTTAGTGTGTTTCTGCCAATGGCAGGTTTGGGATTTAAAAAGCAAACAAATTGCTTCTGCCTTGCAGTGGGAATCCATCATAACTGCTTTCTCTGTTATTTATGGCACCAGTTACATGTAAAATACTTGTGTAGATAATTTTCTGTCTGCATTTGAATGCTACTTTTTCTAATAAAGTCTTTGTAAATGGGTGTATAAAAATTTCACCCTCTCTTATCGAAATTCAGGTACGTTGGAACTGAGCATGGGATGGTATATGTGTTGATGTTCGATTCTGAAGACAGAAAAATTAAAATATTGCCCTATTATGTTCCCACAAATGTTATATCTGGTAAGTATATATTATCGTTACTCATTTACTACTTTTTCTAATATTTATGTATGTTTACGTTTTGTACAGATGTTCTGTAACCAGTTGACTTCAATCTTTAAGCTGTTAGGTGATGACAAAAGAGTTTTTTTGATATATCCCTTCTTAATGCAAAATTCATTTAGGCTTGAGCTGTAATTAAAGTCAGATCCAAAACTATCTTATGTTGAAATAATATTTTGATGGTTTATTCAGAGGCTTTTATACCATGTTAAGGAATTGCTTGACCAAAATGTGTAAAAGCTTTAACTCTTACGCTAATGGTGTAGTCCTTCATGCCGACGTTTCTTGTGTACCTGTTTTTATATATTCCATCATATTGAGGATTTATAAGTTTCTATAGATCCTTATTAACCAACTTAGTAAACCTTGTGATAATCTTCAAGGAAATCTCCCTAGTGGAGCAGATTATTTTGGTATGTCATAAATCTAGCATAAGTTCGTACTTCCTAGCAAGCCACATGCTTGTTGCTAATATATAAGTTAGAGTTTTTTATGGCTAATCAAATAGTTCTGAAAGTCTAACAGCTAACTTGTTGCAAACTGTTTCTCACCTTTGCAGAAGCAGCTGGAATGTCACTTGATCAGGTTTCAGTTGTCAGAGTTCTCCATCAACCATGTTCTGATGGAAACAGGCAAGACAGGAACATACTTAAAGTTTCTCTAATTGATTTCCTTATGTTCTATGAAGAAATTGTGAGACGTGAATTTTAGGTAATTTTGCATTTCAGATTAGGCTAATTGGTTATTCTATTAAATAGTCATATATTTAGGCATTTTCTAAATCATGAGTGGGAGTAAGTTTGAGCTCAGATAGATTTTACCACAGAACATGGCTAACATGTAACCATAGGACAAAAATTTCGTTCATAATGATTTTGATGAAGTATATATGCAATATTTTAGCCATGATTTTAGGGGAAAGAAAAATTTTAATCATTTTTGTAGTGCGGCAATGGACTGTACTTAGGATTTTCAAATTCAAATGATCGGAGTTTCCTTTTGTTTGAAATATACATCATGAAGAATAAACTTAATCCAGATATAATTCAACACCGAGTTTCTTGTTGTTTCAAATTCAGTGCTAATTGCTGGCACTATATGGAGGACAGCATCACAAAATTAATTTGACATGTTTAACATTCATTAACACGTAAGATACATTCTTACACATGTATACATAGTAAACGTACATATACTTTCATGAATTTTAAGGGAACTTAACTTTCGTATAATGTGTTTGGTATGTTCATGTTTTAGTTTATTTAATTGAAATTGTCATTTTGCAGATTTCTAATTGCATATGAAAATGGTTTGATGGTACTCTGGGATGCTTCTAAAGATCGAATTGTTCTCATGAGAAACCACAAAGATATCAAATTAAAGAGAAAAATCGTGGCTAGTTATCTAAATGGCCCTAGGCCTCAGCTTTCTAATGATAAACTAGACCATGAAGAGCAGGAAAAGGAGATAAGCTCTCTATCTTGGGCATCTAATGATGGATCAGTTGTTGTTGTTGGTTATGTCGATGGTGATATAATGTTTTGGGATTTGTCAAGTGCTGACTTCCCCAAAGATCAACAAGTCAAAACATTGTCGAATGATGTTGTCAAGCTTCAATTATTGTCAGCTGACACAAGACTCCCTATTACTGTTCTACATTGGTTGGCCAATAACAAAGGGGGGAAACTTTTTGTCTATGGTGGCTGTGAGATTGGGTCTGAAGAAGTTCTGACGGTAAGCTTCATATGCATAGTGGCCATTTGATTTTAGTTCTTTAATAGTTATTGTAATAATTGAAAAACATCATGATGTTAACATTTGCAGGAAATTAAGCGCAGATGATAAAAAGTTTCCTTTGTTTTTAGTTATAGTTGTGGTGTTTGGATGTAATACCAGAAAAAAAAAGCCATAATAATGAGCACCAAGTTCAAGTAGTCACAAGATCTTACCTAGAAAGGTAGTCTTTTGAATGTTTCAGTGGGTTATGGATGGAAGATTGTGCGAGGTGGGTATCTTGGTAGGAAAAGCATGGGTTTTATCCCGGTGATTAAAGAGGCTAGAGAAACACTGTCAAGGATCTATCTATGCCAACTTTGAGAATGTTCCTGGATTTTAAGTTCCTTTGTAAAAAAGACTGATTTCAGACCTTCAATTGAAGGATTAGATAGACCAATTCCTACCAAACACGCCACATTAAAAAAGAAAGGAAGCAAACGGTCTTAGATTAATACAATAAGTTAATATTGGTCTGTGCTTTTTTATTCTTTGTGCTTTTTTTTTGGTTATAAGTGCTCAGTATACATCTTGTTATCCTGATAAAGTTAAGGAGAACTTATGGAGTAAACACTGTTCATCTCTTGTTCATTATTTCTTTATTTTTTGTTGAATAACAACTTCTGTTGAAACTGATAGTTGCAATAATTAGTATTTCACTTTTGCTACATTAGATTTGAAAATTGGGCATGTCATGTTGCCAGTGTCAGTAGGCTGTTGAGTTTCATAAACTTTATGTAGATAATTAATGTGTCACTACAATATGGTCTTTTCATGTTTACAGGTTTTGAGCATTGATTGGTCCGGTGGACTTCAAAATCTAAGGTGTACCGGCCGCATTGATGTTACTCTTCATGGTTCTTTTGCTGATATGGCCTTGTTATGTCGTGATTGCCATACTGAGGGAACTTGTAATGTGCTATCTGTATTGACAAGTCCTGGACAACTGGATATTTATGACAATGATTGTCTGTCTTCTTTGATGTCCCAGAAAGAAAAGAAGACTTCTGTTCCCACAGTGCAGTATCCCATCCTCGTACCCACTCTTGAACCACACATGACAACTTCAAGGCTTGATGTGGTATGTCAAGATGTAAAGTCATTTAAAGCCTTGTTCAAGGTAATGTAGATGTATTAGATCTAAAGATTCTTTCTTTTCCGTGTCTAGCTTCTAACCCTGTTGTCAATATTGTATAATGTTGAGCTTGCAGTGTCAACTCAACACTAATAGCATACAATGTCTGTGTAGATTCTTGAAGCTGGAAAGCATCATTCAATACAAAATCAGAAAAGTATTGGTACAAAGTGGCCTTTGACTGGTGGTGTTCCAGGTCTTCCTTTCAAAGAAAACCATCCTATCATTCAAATATACATAGCTGGTTACCAAGATGGATCTGTTCAGATATGGGATGCCACGTATCCTGCTTTGTCAATTGCTTACAATATAAAATCTGAGGTTAGTGATCAGCTTATTTTGCAATCTACAATCTTTTATCCAGTGGTGATTTCCCCCCACCTCCACCTTTGTTGCATTTGAATATTTATTGAAACTCATATTGGAGACATGTTTGTCAATCGTGAAGAAAAAAAATTTTTAATTGGCAGGTTGGTGATGTTAAAATTGGCAATGCAAGTGCGTCAGTATCAGCATTGGGCTTTTGCCCTGATACTCTACATCTCTCTGTTGGTGATGAAAGTGGTGTTGTAAGATACATTAGTATTTAGAATTATTCATTTTCTTTTTATTCAGTAGTCTTGACCTCAAATGCCTGGTAATTGTATGCTATGAACATATGTAGGTACGTCTATATGCTCTAATAAGAAGCTCAAATACCACATCTGTGCACTTAGTGACAGAAAATGGAACTGAAGGTTTGGTTCTTTTTTGTTTTCTATTTGAATTGCAAACAAATTTTCTCTTGATTTGTTTCAAGTGTTGAGTCGCTTTTACAGTTACTAATCCTTATATACCTTGCTCCATTGCCATCTTGTGATGACAAGTGTACTGGAAAAAGTTTGGGTTTGTTTGAAGAGTGTTGGACATATGTCTGCCTATTTTGGAGATCAGTTTTTAAATCTTTTTTACGAAGTTTTGTGGGTGACAAAGGAGAATGAGGCACTTTGCAGTTATGCTCGGAGTACTGCGCACCTGCTTGGAATTTAATGCTAGAAAGGAGAAATTTTAACTTGAGCTCTTTGCTCCCTTACCTATCATGGGATAAGTATATTTACCTAATTATATTGTAGTTGTTGGAGATCCTTATCAACCAAAGATATAACTAAAATTATAATATGGAGGGTACAAAACCTCATCTAATAAAGTAGGCTTTGTGAGGTTGAAAGGCTTCAGGTTCACTTTTAAGATTGTATCATAACACATGTGAAGCTATTCTAATGAGGGTTGTTGGACCTATAACTCTAAAAGACAGATTATATAGGGAAGGACAAGATGAACTAGAGTGGTGTGGGTACACCAAGCTCGTTGCGATGATTTGACTGAGCCACCTATGCAACACAGTCGTGAGGCATGCAAAGAGGGTTAGAATAGTAGTATTTCCTTCCTCCATAAACACATTCTCCACCCAAGCTTCTAATTTAGGATACAATTCTGGCAATGAATCAATCACGTGGACCATGAAACTCTCACTTCATCAGAGTAAGAATGGGTAGATGAAGGTCAATGGAGGTCCTTGACCATGCTCATGGATATCCAAGATTGAACATGGCTTGTGCATTAGAATGTGATTTGTTATGTATGTAAATTTGAATTAGACTTAAAATTTACTTTCATATGACTATACTTGATATTCTCAACATGAGGTATGTTAAACTTGAAGTTCACTTGCTAGGTCATAAGAAAAACAAGAAAAGCAAAATATTAATATGGTTGGTTTACCATAAGCCTACCATCTATTATTTTCTGCACGGAAAATGCTTCCACAAGAGTAATGAGAATCTAGACAAGGGGACAGAACCCACTAAACATGAACCTAACACACCTAGTACGAGGAAGAATGACATTTTTTAATACTTGTATTTTTTACAGCGAGCTTATAATCGTAATGCATTTTTATGTTTATGAATAAGCTGTTTAGTAAAGGTGTAGTACAGGACATTACACAAGCTTTTTTTTGACAGGTAAAAACTGTTAAGTTAGATTCACGGGCCTCCAGTTGATTGAGAAAGATTACATTAATATAAGTTTGAATAGAGTCTCGGGTTTAAACTCCAAAATGTTTCAAATACTCAACTGGTCTTGATGGAGTTTCCTCTGTCCCCGTATCCTTCCCATGATTTTTGGATGTTGATGCAGAATTTGAGCTGTTATGAACAGTAATCAGTCTGAAACACAAAAAATATATGGGAGGAATCAAGTTACTCTAACTTTAAAAGAGTTATTCCCCATCCTAACCTTTTCTTTTCTTTTAATCTAGTAGTTCTAAACCGTAACTCATTTTATTGATCGATTAGAATAAAATGAAAGGTTATGAAATTACTTTTGGGATCGTTCGGTCCTTCTTTATGTATATATAGCCTTTTTCTATATAATCATGATACTAATCAGTAAGCCATATCAATTAAAAAAAAAAAGGTGCTTTTCCGATTTGCTCCCTGATTGCCATTGGGAATTTGAATAGCTTGCTTGACAATTACCTAAGTTACCTTATGCTAAAAAAATGATTTGATATTTTATAAATCCAGATTTTAACCTGGTTTTTTCTATTGGGACAGCAGTTCATGACAGGCATCAAGGGGATGGACCTAATTGCAAAGCTGTGTTTACCCTTCAAAATTCTGCTGTATACGGCTTACAATTTGCAAACCATGGAAGAAGACTTGTTGTTGGATATGAACATGGGCAGGTGAGATATCGATTCATTTTTTCCCCTTTTGAAGGAAATGGTTTATTTATTTTTGGTCACCTGATCGAGTTGTTGAGTGGCTATTTAAATTAAACCACTACCGAGTTCCCAACTTATATTTTTCTAATCCACTTTACAGGTGGCTATGCTTGATATAAGTTCATCAACAGTTTTGTTTCTCACGAAAACTGAATCTAACACTTCTTCGGCAGTTGTTTCTATGAATGCAATATTTAAAGACAGTAGCTCGAGTAATACACAGGACTCTGTATCTGATATTTCTGACAATCCTGGAATGGGGCTAGTCTATGTTGTGACAAGGGATGCACACTTTGTTGCAATAGATGCTGTGACAGGGAATATAGTTTGCAGTAGGACCACTAGCCCCAGAATAAAATCAAATGCAATTTCAATGTATATTATAGGCAAGTAATGTTTATGATAGAATTTGATATTATAATCTGTTGAAAGTTTTATTACTTATGTTGCTGTTTTATCTCAGACGGTAGCACTTATACCCTACCAGCTGAAAAATAATCCCCCAACTCGCCTCAGAAGAGTGATTCTGCAATGCAAGCAAACGTCAAATCTGAAAATGCACAACTTGAAGTTGAAATTGCTACTACCGTAGAAAATTCATATTTTGGGCAGATATTATCGAACTCACTCATTTTACTTTGTTATGAGAGCGAATTGAGCATACACACTTTAAATTTTGTGTTTGAGGTGCTGCACTTCACTCCAATCTTCCTTCAAATTTCAATCCATTCCTTCCTACTGGTTAATGAAATTTCCTAGTAACAGGGTAGTAGTAACTACTTCCGCAAGGTGGACCTTGTTCAACGATGCTGCTGGACTACAATCTTTAAGAAAAATGAAAAAGAGTGTGTTCTGGTTCTTCTGTATCAAAGGGGGGACATTGAATTAAGGTGAAGTGCCGATACTACAATGAATATGTATTATTCTTATACTTTGTTCTGGTAACATTATGCAGTTCATGAGTGAAGCCACATTTAAATGAAAATAGCGAACGCAACCCCACCCATCAAAAAGAAGAAATTTATGACTTTCTTTCTTTTAAAGTAAAAATTGAATTTTTTGATGATTTGTATAAATTGATTTGCTATCCTTCAAATAAATAGTATTATAGTGGAGATTCATTGATTTTATATTATTTCTTACTGAGCCTTGGATTACCCCACATCGCAATATTAAAGTCCCAGTTTGCTGCATGGAGCATCTTTAATAATTTTTCATCCTGATTGATTATACTTTCTTTATACGCTGTAGGAGAAATCGTATACATTTGGGCTCTGAATATGTAGTAGCTATTCTAGAACAATTTTGGCGGTGTTATTGCTGTATCATTCAAGCTTTTTGGGTTATCATGGCCCACTTAATTATATTCCCCACTCGCCCTGTTTTTTTTATTTTGATAGTCTAGATGGATTTTATCTCTGAGCAGGTCCTTGCCAGCTTTGGAAGTGTTAGGAGAAATTTCTTTAATGTCAATACTCAGATGGAACTTGGAAATTAACATGGAGAAGACAATATGTTCTTCGTCAAATGGAAAAATTATCCTGGTTTGATTTTTTTTTTTGTTTTGTTTTCAATGAAGCTATTTCTTATATCCTGCCAAAACTTACATGATCTATTGTTGTCTTAAGCTTGATATGTCATTTCATGTCTGAGAAAATTTAAAATATTTACGCATCTGTTGGATACTTATTAAGAAAATAAAAATATACTGTAATGGGCATTTGACAGATTCTGTGTTCCTAGGTCCCATTAGTTGGATTTGGACTAGATTTCATCTTTATTTACCTTAAAAGAGATTTTTTGTGTATAAAATCCATACTTTTTTTGATTTGTTTAGATTAGGGAAAAGTTGCATTTTAGTCTCCTACATTAGTGTATAGTTTTTGTTTTATATTTCTGCCTTGTAATTCATATTCGATCAAGGAATGGAGAAAACACAACTTTCTTCCTAATCTACAATAACAATTGTGCAATTAACCAATATATTTTTTCATTTAAAGATATTCAAACAGTTAATTATGGAATGATACTAGTATAAGTTCAAAGGAAAAAGGACAAAGTGGGAAGTTCAGTAAGGTGTATGAAAGGAAAAAGTGGAAACCTATTTCTTGGGGTCCACCAACACACACCCAATGATTGGGATTTTAACAGAATTGCTAAGTGGCAAGTGAGCTGGAGGGGGGATCTGGTGAGGAACATTTTCTGCATGGAAGAAGTGTGCCAGGTACTCCCATGGAAGAAGTGTCCTCCATGAGGCAAGAGAGGAATGAGATGTTGACTGAACTTAGAGACCACTTATTGCAAGCCCAAAACCGCATGAAACAACAAGCAAATAAGCATAGAAGAAAGGTGGAATTCAAGATTGGAGATTGGGTTTATTTTTGAAGATCCAACCTTATAAGCTAAAAAAATTAGCCAAGAGAATTAATAAAAAGTTGAGTGGGAGAGGTAGCTTATAAATTGAAGTTGCAGGTAGCAAGGTCCATCCTATTTTTCATGTTTCCTTATTAAAGCCAATGTGTCAATAGAGGTAACAGTGCAGTCACTTCCTCTATGTATAACTAAGAATTGAGAGCTGGAAATGCAACCAGAAAAGATTCTAGCTCTTAGAGAAGGAGAAGGCAAGGCACCGGAGGTGTTAGTGAAATGGAAGGGTATGGCATCATGTGAAAATTTGTGAGAATCTCTAAAAAAGATGGGAATTACTTCCTTGAACTTCACCTTGAGGACAAGGTGAAAATTATGGGGGATGGAGTTGGTAGGAGTATAAGTTTAAAGGAAAAAGGGCAAAGTGGAAAGTTCAGTGAGGTGTATGAAAGGAAGAAGTGGAAACCTATTTCTTGGGATCCACCAGCACACGCCCAATGATTGGGGATTTTAACAGAATTGCTGAGGAGCAGGTGAGCTGGGGGTGGGATCTGGTGAGGAATATTTTTTGTTTTGAAGAGAGAAAAGGGGAGAATACAGAGGGGAGGTGAGCACGTGTTGGAGGGGGGAGAGAGGTGGAATTTGGGACTTGGGACTGAGGTCATTGTATCACGTATAATGAGTGGATCTTTTATCTCTTCTACTCTGTGCTGATTGCTATCATGGAGGAAATATAGTAAACTGATTTTTCATTTTGAAACAGTAAACAGCAAAATTCTCTAGTTTACTCCGTTTGCTCATTTTCCCCTTCTGAGATAAGGCTTTTATTGTTAATTTTTTTCCTCCTTTTTCAGATTTTCTTGCAAGGTAACTAATGTTCCAGTTTAGCAGTGATCTAAATACCTAGCTTTCATGCTTTTCACCAGTTACTAGTAGAACAACTTATGAAATATAACCTGATTTATCTAATTACACTGAATAGTTCATGTTAGATATAAAACTGTTTATGAACGTTCACCTAGCATTTTGAATCATAGGGGAAATTCATTCATATAGAGTCAATCTCTATATGACCAACTAGTTAGAACTTAGAAGTTAGATCCTTGTTACCCTTATTCTAATCCTAAATAGTGAAAGAAAGAAAAAATATATATGGGTAAATGATGTCCCTGCCAATAGGCCTAGGAGAAGTATATATTACACTGCCTTCTATTTATTTTGAAAAAATACACTCACTCTCGTATGATAAATTAATATATGGTACGCTTTGATCTATTTTAAAGCTTAGCTTCTTATGGGTGATATTTTTTTCTCTGATTCTCTGCATCTTCAACAACTATTATTGAGTCCATATTATTGACTTTTGGATTCATAAAGATGAAATTAAGACTTTGGTGAAGTTCCGAAACCGTAGCAAAAGTTTTTTAAATTTCATTTATTCTAAATTCCTTAAATTAATAATAAGTATAATACTTACTTTGGTCTGAAAAAATTCAAAATAATTCAATTTTTTATTGTTGTTTAATGTATGTAATTTGTGTTTTTTTTTTATAGCAAACACCGTCTAAATTGTTAACGTGTGAGTTGGTTTATTATTTTTCAAATTGTAATTAGGATTTATTGAAATTAGGGTTAAACTTGGATTAAAATCTGTGTCACATCATTGCCTCGGCCACTTCAGCATCTTCTTCTCCTTATCACCAACCAAACCCTAACCTTCTCCTTTCAGCGTCACCCACCACCTTGCGTCGGCCACCATCAACGCCGCTCAGGCCACCGTGACGAAACAGTTTCTCCACCATCCTCCATGTCGTCGACCACCATCAACTCCTCGTCCAACCACCACCAAGCACCACCACGAAGCTTCGCGCAATCTTCTTCTTCGCGAAGCAAACCACCGCGAAGTCTGAACACTCAAATCAACGAGCAATCCAAATCACGAAACCTGCAAGGTGAATTCCAGATCATCAGATCATCTCCACCTTCGCGTACTTCTCCTTCGTGCACGAAAAGAGTCCAAATCGCAAAATCCAGTTCTCGCCGCCATGGATATTCATCATCATCATCCTCTATCGAGCACAATAGCCGCACCATGAAAAACCTGCACCCAAAAAACCTAAAACAGTGCAGAAACCCTAGAATCGCGACAATAGAAGTTCATCTTCCTCCTTGCGCAACCTACAAAAGAAAACCTAATTGCGAATTCTCCATAGTGAGCCTGTCTCCTCATTCTTCACGCGAACCTGCAAGGCAAAAACCAAACCAGCCAAAATTGCGAAACAGAACAGAATGATACCCCTTCATCGTCTCTAATTGCGCCAACGTCCCTAATTTCAATAAATCCTAATTACAATTTGAAAAATAATAAAGCCAATTGACAGGACTCCACGTAAGCCTGTTTTACTGTATAATTGCACATCTAAACATCTCCGATAATGATTTAGAAGGTGTTTGTTAAAAGAATCACACAAATTACATTTTACATTTTTTAAGACTATATTAAAAAAAAATGGAACATTTTGAATTTTTCCAACCAAAATAGGTATTATACCTTAATAATATAATTTTAAAATTAATTGTCACTGACTCTGAAATTTAGACAGGAAAAATGCCACTGAAAAGCTCATTAATAGTTATTCACTATCCCTGAAAGGTTTGTTCATATCAAAATGAAAGCATAGTATATTTTTATCTGAACTGACGAGAGTGTAATTTATAGGGGGAGTACAGTGTAATTTATAGGGGAGTGCAGTGTAATTTAAGGGGAAAGGAATGCAATTTATTAGAAATATTGAACTCGAGCACCACCTAAGTGGCCTAGTTCCCCGTGCTTTAAATAATGGCTATTGCATGCAACTCCTGCTGTTCTTGCAAATGAAGTAATTTCAAGGTTGTTTTGTTTTTATAATCAAACTCATGGCTATCTTGTTTTACAGGTCAATGAGAATGAAACTGCCTGCATATCACTATTGAACTGTGAAAATGAGCTCTGGTAACTTCATTATTCCTCCCTATTCTGACCATAAGTTTTATTGAGAAATTAGAAATCAATTCTTAACCCCAATTTTTATAGCTATCGTTAATATTTGAACCATTCATAAATCGTTTCAATATAGAAAAACTTTTTATAACAAGTTAATTGAAATCAAATTTGAGGGCTGCTACCAAAAAGAGCCTGGGACAACCGATAGGTGGTTTGCGAATGTGATCAACAACCTCCTTAAAAGAATGCTTGTGAAAATTATACGTATACAGTCTCACAAGTAATTAGAACTTCGGTTTCCATTATGAGCTTTGAAATTCTTGTAGGATTCCAGAGTCTTTTCCATGTCTTCATGATGAAGTTCTTGCAGCTGCAGTAGATGCCACAGCAAGTCTATCTCAAAACCAAACTGAAAGACAGGTCTAGCTTTTTCAGGCTTGCCGTTCTCTCCCATTGTTTTTTTTATAGACTTGTAATTCAATTTATCTTGCTATAGGGAGCATCTGGCATCTTTGTTAATATAGCTAAGAACTTTAAAGCGGGGATAGCAGATCAGAATGCAAATCAAGCAGTTCAAACTAATAGATTGGAAAATTTGAAACAATTATTCTCTAGTCCTCCTTTCTTAAAGTCTTCCTCAAGCACAGTAGATAACCAAGATCCTTTTTCCCTTGACATAGGTTTGTCCTTAACATTTTCTACTGCCAACTATTCTTTATTTTCTTAAAATGGTACCTTATCTTTTACAGATGACATTCAAATTGATGAAGTTGTAGTCTTTTCATCTCCAAAGAAAATCGACATTGACAAGAGAGGTACATCATATTGTTTCATTTCTCCCGAAAGTATTATATGATTTATCTTTTGAATATTGAGGCGCCTTGCAGATAAAGAGAAAGAAACAGACAGACCGAAATTATTTGATATAGGGAAAGGAACAGACATACTGAAATTATTTAATGATAAAGGGAAAGCAACGGACAAGCAGAAACTATTTGAAGATGCAAGCACAGACTCGAAACCAAGAGCTAGAACAACTGAAGAAATTAAAGCTAAATACAGAAAGACGGGGACGGGGGTAAATCGCAGTTCTGAAAACCCTGTAATTTACGCATTTTACTCACATGTCTTGACTTTTCACTGGTTTCAGGATGCCTCCGCAGCAGCTGCACTTGCAAGGGATAAACTTCTAGAGCGGCAACAAAAGCTCCAGGTATATTATTATTATTATTATTATTATTATTTGACTCCTTTCTCCATTACTTGGATGTTGTTTTTGGTCAATAATACAAAATCAATTAATCATCATAATTTTTCATAACACTTAATTTCAAACCTCAAAAAACATAAAAATCTGAATCGCCACAAAAAAACCATTTTTAACGAGACTCTGAAAACAGACGTTTCTTGTTTTACTTTTAACACGTAGACGATAGTGTCGGGTTTATCTTAAGATGATTGAGTTACCATTGAAGTCTGTTGACAGACCTACCTTTTCTTGAGGAGTTGCAAAACTCCCTATGTTTTCTCCTTTTAACAATGAAACTATCACTTCTGTTTTTAATTACATCGTTTAATACTTAAAAAATATTCCTTAAATTGCCAGGAAATCAAAGTGTTTTACTATGAATTAAAAGTTAGCTGGATTTCTTCCAAATGTGCCTATTTATTTTTCTTTCCCCTTTTTTTAACTAGTTGCTCAACGAACACACTGAGGAATTGCAAAATGGAGCGCAAGACTTTGCATCCATGGCAACTGAACTTGCTAAAAGAATGGAAAATCGTAAATGGTGGCAGTTATGATTGTTTGTATGACTTATTGATTTCGTCAATACGTACGTTTTGCATACTTTTTTTGTAAACTCAATTGTTATTATTATTATCATCATTTTTAATAAAAAAATTAATTATAATAAACTAGTGCAAATGTTAGTGTTTCCTTTTTTGTTGTAAAATAAATAGTGTTTTAAAAAAGTTAAATAGTAAAATAATTATTTTTATTTATAAAATAATTAAATTTAAATTGATAGTTAGAAAGTAAAATTAAAATAATAGTTATTTAAAGAATAAAATTATATATATACACCCATTTAATAAATTTACATATAATCATTAAAAAAATTGTAATTTAATTCTTGGGTACAGAGCATAATTTTCAAACTGGTCCGCTATAATAATATAATAAGCCCCAATAAGTGATGCATAAAGCATTGAAGATAAATTGAGATAAATGATTAAATAGTGAAAAAACAATAATAAAATCAGTATTACAGTATTTTAATTTAGTATTGCTTATTTAAAACATGAAAAAGTGAAAACCCAGTTATTTTTTCATGGCAGCTTGACAATTTATACACATTTTTCATATTCTATATTTTAATTCAAACATTGTTGTTTCTTTGTCATATTAACAATTTGAAAGTAAATATACAAAAGCTCATTTTGTAAACTAAAAAGTCCTTTATATTCATTATCAGATTCAACATAATATTTAAATTGAACAAAAATGTAAATTTAGTTAGTACAAAAATACAATAATATATAATTATAAATCATTAAATTATATAATTAATTCAACATGAGGGATTTAATATGATTAATTTTGTAAGTCCTTTCTTCTGACATCCTAAAAATATAACAAAATATTACGTAAAATATAAATCTAATATGATAGAACAATTATCAATTAGAGTAATAAAGTATAAATTTACAGTTATCCAAAAACAACTATAAAATTTAAAACTTTGTATACAATCCATCTACTACAAAATTATGTACAATACTATTATAACTAATCTATACTGCCACATCATTTCCATCCAAAGTCTGCTTTGGAAAACATCATCTCCCTCTGCTCACACCCACAGGATGATCATTGCAAAGAAAGATAACACCACACATACAAAACACAATCACAAACAACAGGGTAAGCTAGATATAAAAAGATTTATACATTATTATAATTTACAGCACAATCAACTCATGCATATAGAACAACTATTTCAAACATCCTAAACATGTTATGACTTAGACTTGACTGTCTGGATTTAGAATGATTGTCGAGCTATGACAGGTTGTGCACTTGAGGCGACCTCTACTACTTTGCAAAGCTATTGCCAACGGGTTTCACCCTACCACACTCACAATGTTAGTTTGTTCCACGCCTTGGAGCATACTAGAAGCCCTTAAGACTAAGACCTCATACTACTCCTCACCACATGTGTCAATCCTCTCTACTTGAGAATGAAAGACCATTGGAGTTCAAGATAACCCCCAAGACTGGACTCCCTGCATTCATTATAAACATACTTGAATCTCACCAAGAGATTCCACTTTGGAACTTACTTACATAACTTTGAAACCATACTTGGAAACCACATACTTTCACTCTTGAATCTCAACATCTAATTATGATAATCATATACACGCATACATAATTATACATCATCCACAAGGAAACAAAGCATAATTATAATCAATTAAGAACAAAGAAGGAAAGAGTAAACTAACTTGGACCAGTCGCTCAACGACCACTCTCGCTAAGCGACCATAGGATTCTCTCGCTCAACAACCTGGCTCGTTGTGCTAATACACAAACAATGTTCCCAGACCTCGAACCCTTCGCTCAGCGACCCGCTAGCTGTGCGAATAAAACTCACAGTGGTCCTAGACCCTACACTCTCGCTCAGCGACCCTACTCGCTAGGCGAGAGTAGAGTCCACACCCCCAACTCACTCGCTCAGCGACCTATTTCGCTGGTCGAGACCTAAGACACTGGCAAAACCCCCCAACTCACCCGCTTAGCGACCCAAATTTGCTGGTTGAGACCTGAAACAGTGGCCCAGACCTCTAAACCACTCGCTCAGCGACCCTACTCTCTAGGCGAATACACAAATAGTGTACCAGACCTTACAACCACTCGTTGAGCGACTTCACTCGCTCAACGAGTCTGCATAATTCTGCAGCACCAAACTATAGAATTATGCAACCTGCACCAAAATGACCAAATGAAAAAAATTTTCCCAA